ACACCGAGTGCAGTGACAGCCCCGCAGCGACTGTAAAAGCTGGGACGAAGCTGACATGGTGACACTGCAGGAAACTTAACGTGAACGGAATGAAAATCAGCAGAATTTAACCGTCACGATCAGCCGTGCACTGTGCAGAGACCCAATAACGCCGCTCACCCGCACTGGTTTCCCAGCTTCCCGTTACAAATACATGTTACACATCCACAAAGAAGACAAAAGAGGAAAACCGTATCATCCAAGAACATTGAACTTTCAGTTTCAAACTAGGGATGGCAAGCTCTTAAACAGGGATTACTGATACCTTATGAAAGTCCGTCATTATATATAATATATATATATATCTGGGAACGGGAGGTGGGTCTTGCCTCGCAGCAACTGCTCACAGCAGGCAAAAAAGGTTCATTAAAACTACCAAAAAGCCATGGGGGCAGTGGACACCGCAGCACCCGGCGCTTTCTGCTCTGCTCACAGGGATGTGCAGACCGAGGTTGGCACGTGCAGAGTCCTGGGGTGGCTGGGGTCCTGTCCCAAGCACCAGGCAGTGGCTGCGGCGCCGCGGCCCAGGGCTCCCCTCCAGCAAACCCGTCAGAAGGTGATGCTCGCAAGGCCTGTTTGAAAGGGAAGGGGCATGGGGGGAGAAACAAGCGTTTATTTAAGGATTTAGCGGCAGGGGATTAAAAAAAAGGAGATTAAGAAACATGGTGACCTGTACTTTTATAGCCCTTTTTTGGATTGTGATGGAGCGAGTAATTCAAGCCAATCTGAAGGAGAGCTGGAGTTATTCACGGCAGAAGGAACCACACAGAGGGTGCTGATGAACCAATGACCTGCCCATGAAATCACAGTGAGGAAACTGGGGAAAGTACCATTAATGGGGGCGGTAAATTCACTCCAGATAAAGAAAAACTGCTTTATACTAAAGCATATCCACGCATTAGACATTTGATTCTCTCCTTTGGGATTTAGAGCAGAGAAGAGGAGGAAGAAGACATCAACTGGCAACCAGAGAAGTTTTCTGGAAAGCCTGAAGTCCCCGAAATTGCAGACAGGAGTGGAGAGAAAGTGTGTCTGCAAGAGCTGCCTTTCTAATCTGGACCGACACTGGCTGCAGATATCCATCCCTCACCCCAACCACAGCTCTTGTGGATTCATTCTTTCTGAAGCAGCAGCAGCACACACGACACGCTACAGGCAGCATAAAATCAAGCCTCAGCTTCAAAGAAATTCCAGTCTAGGAAAGACAATTCTAAGAACAAAAGGAACGCTAAAAAAAGAGTTAACTCCAGAGGGAATTTTTTCCCCCTCAGGAGAAAGTAGCGTGGAAAACTCAAGTTTCAGAGGGATGTAAATGGGGGCAGCGCAGAAGAAGACAGGGCTAAGTAATACAAATTTATTTTTGTGTTGTCAGGACACTGTGATTTCATATACCGTGTGCCCATATGGCACTTCACATGCATAGGATTTGTAAGCCTTTCAATTAGCACTGATAGTATAAAGCAGGCAGTTATTTAAAGTAACCCATACGGCATCTTTCGGCACAGAAATTCTACCTCCCCTGCGCTGGACAGGCTTCCTCTTGGGCAATGCAGATGCCAACACAGACCCCCCAAAAAGGCTGAGGAGAAACAGTCACGAGGCACCACCTGGGAGGTGTTCCCCAAAAACAAGAGGCAGCCCCAATTCCTGCTATGGGACCCACCCATCATACCCCCAGTGGATGCAGTCGCAGTCCTTCCTGTGGGGAGAAGGATTTTGGAGAGCATTACCCAGATTGCTGCTGTCCTTCGAAGCCCAGCAGATGCAGTAGTGCTGCATTAGTTGCTCAAACAGCTCCTTTTCATCCAGGAATTCAAGTCCTTCTATTCTGCAGGAGTGAAATAAAAGCTGTGATTCAAACTGGGAGTCGCAGTACAGTTTATGCATTCTTCACTTCACAGGAGTGAAAATTACCTTTCTAGTAAATTAACACAGGTATCTGTCCACAATGAAGATATCACCACTACTGCAAGCCCCTGTTGTCAAGTGATCCACAAGATCACAACTTCTTACCCCTGGTATTTCACGTGCCAGGACCAATTTGTGTAAATGCTCACAGACTCCACTACTACTCTTCTGACCCCTTTTACCGCACGTACCTGGTCTTGCTGGATCTATGCAGCCTCAACAGCACAGCCTAACGGAAGGAGATTGACCTTCTTCAGAGGATTACAGTCAAAGACAGCACTTCCTCCAGACATCACAACAAGTCCATATTCTGTCTTGGGAGAGTGATGGGTACATGAGGACAGCTCCTAACAACTCTCCCACATGAGCTCATGATGAAGCACCAACCAAATGGTACACACAAGATCTGATTTTTCCCCTAAAATGGCTCCTACCCAGGATCCTGAAACTCAGATCTCCAAACATCTTCCACCAAACAAACGGGTGAACTTCTCCCAGGCTGTGCTTGCTTTGAAAGGTTTAACCTGGCACATCCCCCTCTCACTCTACGTTACTCGAATATCAGCGTTTATCTCCCATGCTGAATATCTGGAAGGGCTGCTACTGAGGATGAAGAGAGGCTGAAGGGAAAAGTTCCTGAATACACTCACAGATGTGCAACTGCTGCAGAAGAACTCTTGTGTGTAGATTTGTATAAACAGAAAGCATTATTTGCCCCACTAATACCAAAGGACAGAGTTTACGTAACCTATTTCTTGGCATTTGGAACAAGAGCTGAACAGATCTAAGGTAGTCAAAAATGCTGCAAAAAAAAAAGTACAAGTGATGCCTCTCCACAAGTGCCATATGGTCCAATCACACAGTCAGCGTCCCTATTTAAACAACCTCTGATTTTCAGTCTCACCTGTTCAGTTCCATGGATTGAGAAACCCCCATATGTGAATACTTATTTTGACCGAGCCAACTTGTTCAGCTAATTCAAACCATAGTTAATGAGTGACTCACTGCAATTCACCCTTCATATTATATACCTAAGAAGTTACTCATTAAAACAGCTTCCCCCTTTTTAGCTTTTCTCTAATGCAAGAGATTTAAGAGAACCATGCAGATTACTGACTGTTAGAGCAGCCCTTAGTTATACCCTGATGTAGCAAGCTCTGCAGACAGCAGCCTCACTCATGGCAAGGGGCACACGTTGGTCTCCTCTCTCTCTCTCTTTGCTCACATTTGGTCATAGCACCAATTTACTGCCCTGCCTTGGCTCATTACCTAAATGTGCTGCCAAGGAAGAAGGGAGGGAAGAGCAGGACTGGCCACTTTCCACCCACGTGTAGTAAAAAAGCAAATGGATAAGTGACCTTACCTAGGCCTACAAGAGTGCAGCAAATACTTGGATGTCACCTTCCCTGGGGACATGAAAAGTGGCTGCCTGTTCCAAGTGTGTTTTAGGACTCCACTCTGCCCCTCTGGTGCTGTGGGGGCTGGATGTTCACAAGAAACACCTCAGGTACTGTAAAAACTCAACACAGCATTTCTGTAGCATCTTTTAGCTGCAGTTCTCTGCCATGAGATGCCTTATAGAGCACCCAAACAAATCGCCCCCCCTGCCAGTCTGCTTGTGGCAGCAATAGCCCTGGGGAGCATTAGTGTTGCTCCAGGCGTTATCCTCAAGGCTCAGCTGAGCTTCACACTCAGACCCAGTCTGCCTATGTCGCTAGCATCCGCACACAGCCTCCTCTCTGTTATTCTAGGAGATCCCACACTACACATCAACGCGAACCACCTCGGAAACAGCATCTGAAGATGACTTTTGGCTGCAAGCAAGCTATCAGTGATACCTTTTGACATCAGCCTGTGGCAAGAAGCTGTACACTTTCATCATATCGATGGCACGTGCGGTTTCCCAGCCGTTCAACAGCAATCGTTCCCTCTGTAAAACAAAACAAGCAGCACAGTGTTCAGAGGACTCGAGGAAAAATACCAGAGCATAGTTTCACACCCCCCTAAAGATTTTGCAGGCCGCCTGCTTGACCTGTTCTTTGAGGAGCTCTTCTGCACTTTTCAAAGCATCTGCTGCCCTCTGGTCAGAGAGGGCAGTGGGCTACAAGGACCTGTGCTCTGATCTGCTGCAGCTTCTGTACAACTACCAAAACTAAGTGATATGGGGCAAGCATGGCATTGATAACAGGGAAGCACTGCAGCATGGATAGAGAAGGGTTTCAGTGGGTAGCATCTGTCCCACCCCAAACCTGCTCTGGTCACTGCTCTGAGCCTTACAGTGCACACACAGAGCCAGAACTTGCAGCCAGATTAATTAAGGTAATTAATTAAACAAACACGCCCAGAGCTCTGCGCCCCTTCACCTGCGAGTCCAAGGACCTGCAGACCTCCACTCCAGCCAGGTTGCACTGTCTCCTCTGCAGGTTCTCGATCATCACCTGCCCGAACCGGTCCGTCATGTTCACCTCAGGTAGAGAAGGAGACAAAAGTGTTCCCCCTTCCGAAAAGAACGTGACCGCAGTGAAAAGCAGTGACTCGGTTAAACTCTCAAACTGTCATCAAACGTAGAGGATAACATTAAGTTTCCCATATTCTTACACCGGGTCTCACTTCCCACTGCCACAGCCTCCTCAGCTACCTCCCATTGACAGGCTGAGTGCCAGTTCAGTGGTGCCAACGCCACTGCCTTGACAGACACAGGGACTCCGGGCACTGAAAACTGACGCTGCCTTCAGTCATCAGCAACTCGATGCGGCTCTCGCAGTGATTTACAGCTCGGAAGATCCCGTTACCAATTCCTGGAGCCACCTCGTTCCCCCGAGGCAGCGTTACACTTCACACAGAGCAGCTTAAGTTCGTGCTGATGTGATTTTTGCTCCACTTTGCCAAGGAACACAGCGAGGTAATTATCTACCGTTACACGCTCATATCCAACATCCAGCACCGTTTCCTCTTCCTCTGCCTTATCTAAACCAATATTCTATGGCTTTCTCCACATATGGATTAAGTCTCAGTTATTTTGATTCAACACAGACCAGAAATTGTCTTTCAGAATAGCAGTGTATTCTTTACAATGAGCTAACAGATCCACAAAACAAAGCACATTACTAAAGAAATTCGGCACAAACCGTTGTCTATACAAAATGATACGGCCCACTTCTATTCCACAAGCAGAACTCCCAATTCTGATGGCAATAATGCAGGTCTGGAAGTGCCATTGTCGTTTTACCTGCTCGTAGTTTATGAACATCGCCACTGGAAACGTTCTCGCTGCCCACTTGAGCAGATCTGCAGACTGCTGTGGTGTCATGTAGACCAGCACACACTCTGCCACCAGAAGCGTTGGCAAACTGTAAAACAAAAAAAGAGAGAGAACTATTTCCAGCAAAAGAACCAGAAAAATCTACACACAATTATTAGCAAGTAAGTAATTTCATGTCCCCAAAATTTCTTAAAAGAGCTACCCTGTTCATGAAGTAGACACTTCAGATTGACTGAAATCACTTCCCATTGACCAGAGCTGGGCTTTCTGGCAGTCAACAGGGGAGTCCCATGGTTACAAAGCAGAGATATTGGGAAATAATCTCCCCAGATCAGCCACGCTATGAACACAGAGGAACGTGTATTCTGCAGACCTTCCCTGAACTGGGACCGAGCTGCAGTGCATGCCAAAATTCAGTTTGCAGAACTGCACCTATAGACACAGTCTGGACTCTTTTAGAGACCAGCAAAATTAGGCATAAAATACAGATTGAAATAAAATGTTCCCTTTAAAAAGGGTTCTAAGAATAATTTCAGTTAGACAAACTTGTTCAGTAACTGTAAAATAAAGTTCCCATATTGTTATCTAACGAAAAGCAATCTATAAGCTTGCACATTGCCTCTTCCCCCTCCATCCACCAAAAAGCTCCCATAAAGCAGACATCCACACAACTGATTTTACTCATAATTACGGAGTTTTCTTTTAATTGAGAGAACGAATGGAAAAGAGTCACTAGAAGCAGAAGAAATTCCACAAGGAGCAGCAACGTAGGCAAGAAAGACAAGGCTGCAGAGATGGAAGTGTAAAGATTTAAATGGCAATTTGATGCATTCTGCTTACCCATATGCTCTCTCCCACCCAGGCAGATAGCCGCTATTTATGTATCTTAGATTTGAAAGGTATGTCCATCATCCACTCTAAAAACTTAAAACCTGCCCCCTCCAGAAGCCTCCAACTCGAACAATAAAATCCCAGATATTTGCTCCCGGCGTTAAGCTCTCAAAGGGCTCCGTGGCAATCGCCTCACCCACAGGTCTGGGGAACAACAGGGGTGTAAGTGGAGGCAAGAGAAGATAATCACAAAGACCAAACTCTGAAATGATTTAACACTGACACAATTATTCTCCATTTTACCAGCTGAGCTCCCAAAAATCTTGACTCATACGGCCATTATAATAGGGGTGGAAGACGTTCAGTGATGGTACTGCCCATCAGTCAGCGTTAAAACCAAATGCAACTGAATTAATGAACGCTCCACTCTTAAAAAAAAGCAACTTGTGAAATTTTGGTGCATTTTAAAGATTTCCCTTTAACAACTTATGATTCTATTAACCACATTTCAGCCAAATTCAGCAAAAGGGTAAGAATCTCTGGAAGAGTTAAATCCATGATGGAAATGAAAGAAAACTTGAGTGAGGCAGCAAATGGTTGTTGCAGGAACTCATCCCCTCCAGGGCAAGGGATGGCAGGGACAGTGAGAAGGGATTAGGAGGAAAGTGAGAAGGGATTAGGGGGGAAATTGAGAAGGGAAGGCAGCTGCCTGCCCTGTAACAAGAGCTTTAAGTGGTGTGGAAGGATCGTGTACCCTAGAGAGCCAACCACCAGAAACACAGGCACAGAAAGCCGGGCTTCGCTCCTCAGGGCGTTTCAAGCACAGGCAGCAAACAGTCCTGCAAGGTTTGGAGGTGTCAGGAAGGACAGAGCCGCAGCGGGCAGGACAGGCCACGCGATGAATGGCCCATGAGGTGTCTGAACGATTCCTTCTGCTCCAGGGGCTGAGGAAAAGGTAACCATGGCAATGGCACGACGAGCGCCGGGTGCGGACACCGCGTGCCCAAGCCTGAAGTGTGTTGCTGCAAGCCCTCCTGAGAAATAATTTCAAAGAAGTTCTCTTACTGTGTATCCAGGTTGTGTTTCTTTAGCTTTTCCTCCAGATCTGACGAGAACCGGAGATCTGCTCCTACTATGGAATATCGGCTGGAGTCCAGGCTGTGGGAATCTGCAAGTTAACATCGAGAGAGTAACGGTCATGAACAAGAGGGGTGCTGAGACGACACGTTTTTAAAAACCCCACAGGAACATAAGAATTCGGAGTCACGGTTTGATCTGTTACACCTAACACCAAACTCTTCTTCTTGAAACATTCATTTCCCCTGTACCCGACCGTTGGGGGGTAGAGATGGTGAAACATCAGCACCAGGCTCTGCAAGCAGCCTCATCTTGCACTGCAGCCGCTGCGATGCAGATCGGCCACCCCAGCCGTTACCATGGTTTCGGGGAATGCAGAGAGGAGACAACGGGAAGATTAAAGGCAGGATTTTTCCGTCTTGCTCACAGATCCTTTTAGACCCAAGGTACATGTACAAGGCAGTACATCAATTTCTGAAAGAACTAAGTTACACTAACAACGTTCCAGATATTCACAACAGATATAGCTACAGAAATGAATGATGCATACAGGTATATAATATGTGGGTATCAGACGTGGATGTGGGGGCCAAATCAAGTTATCATTTAGCTTTCTGGTATGATCCAGCAATGGTATTTAAGTGTGGAGTCAAATTAGGAAATATATTCTGAGAAACAACCATTCACCAGGGATACAACAGGCAGCGAGCTCCTGTAAATGCTTTCCAACACGAAGGAGGAACTGATATTAAAGTCTAAAGACACTTTGCCATAGTAGTGAAACCGTGAGGAAGGCAGCAGCAATGTGAGTGTCTTGCTATCAGTAATTCTGACAGCCAGGGCAATCCGTTCGACTCAGCGAGCTCAGTCCTCACAGAAAACACTTTACAAACGCAGGACCAAACCCACTTAAAGATGCAAAGTTTTGCGGGAATATATCAGATTATATATATATATATATATCAGACGGCTCTTTCCAGCTTTAGAGTGAAGCCATCAGGACAGAACAGCACATCATTCTCCCCTCTTACCATATGAGCAAGCAGTAAAATAAGTCTGCTAAGCAGTGGAAAAACCCCAGATTTTGGAAGTGAGCAGTGAAATCTGCCTGCAGCAGCAAGTGCTCGCCCTGCTGCACCTGGGATCCTGCTGCAGGCACCGCTCCTGAGCGAGGTCAAGAGCCGGGTGAAGAGAAAGAGCAGCCGAGGAGGCAGCAGCAAAGGGCTTTCCATTGCAGGAGAGGGGAAAAAAGGGCATTTATTAAATTAAGCAGTGCTTCAGTCATTCTGCAAGATGTACCTCCATTGAGCTTTCAAGTGACCAACTTGAAACTGGCCCTAGCGAGTGGCAGCAGCTGTCCTTCCCTCCAGAACCACTCCTGGACAGGTACAGAAGCCAGAACAGTTCATGCAGAGTTAGAGGGGGGAAAAAAAAAGGAAAAAGAAAGTTGTGCGGCAAATGATTCAACATTTTGAGTCAAGGCTTTTTTCCATGTGCATGTTCTGTAATAGCTTTACTACTTCCCACACCCTTCTATTTAAGTTATTATATCAAGGCCATGATAATGGCATCAAAAAAAAACCCCTCACAAAAAAACCCCGTCACACACAGGAAAGCATACCTGCAGGGGTTGGTTCGCTGACCGGAGATGCGGCGCAGCGAGCGTCAGTCACCACAATTAGGCTGAAATTAATGCAACCTCCTTGTCCAGCTCCACCGACTTGGACATACCGTTATGTAAATTACAACCAGAAATAAACCACCACCATCTTCAAGCGATCCCGTAATGGAAGTAGTACAGACACTTCACCCGAGGTGGAAGTAAATGCCTCATGCTCACGTCGTGTCGATTCAAGCATTCCTACCACCGAAGAGCAGGAAAGAGCAAAGCCTCTCCAACCTTATGTTAGAAAGCTGTCAAATTTCAGCAGCCTACATTAGTAACATGGTTTTTACAAAGCCTGCATATGCAAGAACAAACCCCACAGAGCTCCTGTTATGCCCTGACGTGGCAGCAGAGGGGACGGCAAAGGAATCAACCCGGGCGTTACTCCAAGTGCAGTCACTTCTTCACTTCCCTTTCCAGTGCTGGGGCTGCCTGGTTCCTCCTCTGGTCCATTCAGACACCACGTCCTTGCTCCTCCACACATTTCCCTGCCAACTTCCCTCCGCTCTCCTCTGATGGCTGTTGGCAAACACAACCGCAGATAGCGCCGAGGCAGAGCCGCACACGGGCTGACACAACTGCTATGAATAGTGCATTTTGAACAGATCCGAAAGCACCTCATTGAACATCTCCATAATTCCCATATTTCAACGTTTATGATCAATACTGTTCTCTTCACGGAAATCTCAGTGAAAAATAGGAAGGTGACACCAGTCAATTTTAAACGCAAAAAGAGAGGCACAAGTTAAAAAGCAGAGGAAAGAGCTTCAGCTGAGCCTCTTCCAACCTTCCTCATCAGGTTTTCTGCTGGCTTCCACCTTTGGCCTCTACATGGCACTAAAAAATCCTTTTATATAGAAAGTCAAAGGGCTGAAGAGGTCAAATTAACCAGGCAAACAGCTTCCACATGTTAAAATCAGACCCACAACTGCTCCATCACTTCACCCTCAGACAGCAGACCACCGATGACCACTGGAACTGCCACTGCTCCCAGCCTGCAGGCTAAACCTCGAAGCACGGCCATAAACAGCCCAGAAAATAACGCGCTGCTAGTTCCTCGTCTGGCACCAATTTCTACTTTGCCGCAGAGTCTGATGCTCTAAGTATGAAAATTTACAGATAGGCTGCCACCCCGACCGAGCAGCGCTGGTGCAAATGCATTTACACAGAGCAGCTGGGAAAGGAGAAGCAAGTTTCAGCCTGGGAAGTCATGTGGTCTCCATTGATTTCTCCTTATGAACCAGAAGCTTATTTGAATTGAATCAATTTTGGTGCTAAACCCCCTCTTTTATCCCTTGCTGTAATCTCACTCATCTGGAGGTGTCTGCTGCAGTGACCCCCCCACAGACCGCAGCCCTGCGCCCCATCAGGGCCCTGCTGCTGCCTCCCCACAACACACCGCGCTAACACACAACTCGGTGGCAGCTCTCAAGTACACAGGACCACCTTGTTGTGACTCAGGCCAACTGCCCTAATGCTGGCATAGCCAGCAACATCTGGGGGCTTCATCCACTGAAAATCCCATATTCCAAGTGTTAATTCCCACCCAGAGGCCAGCATTTCACGTTGTTTTTTAGCAAAGCCGTTTGGTCACGATGTTCTTTTCTAGAGCACGGAGCTACCTTACGGTGTCCTTTGTGATGCTCACACTCAGCACATCCAGTTATGTACAAAGTTTCTCTCTTCTACTTGTCTGGAAGGAAGGGTTGAGATTCAGATTTCATTTGAGAAACACAAAGTGTCAAGAGCGAAGGAGACACAGAAAAGGAGCCCAGCCCACCCCACCAACCCGAGGCAGACTCGCTTGGCTCAGGTGCACATTTCTGTTACCCACACATAATTCCACAGAGAACACTGTGCTCTCATCACGCTACCTCTGTGGACATTTCCCGGGCCTTTTGGCACAGAAGCAGCAATATGAGCAGCTCAGATTCAGACATCACGGCAGTAACCGAGCAGTAGCAGGCGTTGCTCACGGTTGCCTTTTGACCCCGCTGCAGTAAGATGCTTCTTCACAGAAACGCCACCAGCAGTGCTGGGTCTGATGGGGCCTCAGGCACTCACCCGCTGCCTTCACCCGGCTGCTGCAGCAGCACTGCAGGACCACGGGTGCACGAGGGGCAGCGTTCCCTCTGCTGTGAGAGCTCGGAGTTTTCTTTTCTTACTCTCCTCAGACAGTAAAACCACTTCCTGGAGGTTTTCCAAGAGACAGCACGCAGGATACTGTTGACTCAAACTGATTTCATTAGGATTTGCATCCTAAGGTGTCTTTGGCAGCCTTACAACCAACCAGCCCATACAACCTATCCTGCAGGATATAGCATCAGACTCGCTCGTATCTGTTAACCACAACATCAGAGCAGGGTACGTGTCAAAACAGGAAAGGAATTCAGCTTGTCTTGCAAGTGTGGGACCATCTCCAATGTAAGGAACACAAGTCACCAAGACAGCAACGCTCCTGTTGAGTCCCAGGCATGTTTGGAAATAGAGGGAGAAGGAAGGGAAAACAGCCAACTCCCAACACTGGAATGGACCGAGCCAGAAAGTGTATGAGTAAAGCTAACAGTGAGGCGTAATTTGCCCTCACAAGGTAGCAAAGGTGGAGTACTAACTCCCTGACACCAGCCACTGCATCATAAACCAGATAGTGCCACTGGACTTTGAAAACAATTCAACCTGCTATTGCCACAGCAATGTCACACAACGGCACTGATTCACTGCTTTCCCCTGGAGACCCAACATTCCCCAGGAACACAAAGCTGCTCCATGACAAGTGTCATCTCACTGCATTCAAGGGCAGAGGCCACAAATATCCACGCTTGGACTGCAAGCCGTGCTGTCATGGCTTTGTCTGAAGGGCAAGGGGAAAGCAGATGTTGCCTCGAAGCCAATCAAGTTGTCTACTAGCGCTGGCTTCATGAAATGAAAGCAGTCAGTGTGAGAAGCAGCGAGAGGACATGGGTCATGTCAATCGATACCACAACAGCTCAGAAATCAAACTCCAAAGCGTCTCAGCAAGCGACTCCTGGTGTACACGAGACAGCAGCACGGCACTGACTGGGGCAGGGGCAGGACAACCTCCCTCCAAGATTCTAAAATCCTGGTCTATGTCCCCAGCCCAAAAACCCCACAAATGAGCACCATTCCCCTACCTGCTGCTTCATTATGCCTTACCACACTCCCTGTGAGCCGTGGTGTTGGTCTAACAGCAAATTTCCCCTAGCCTGGGGTCCTGCCTCTCTCAGATGCCAACTGCAGCTACCTGGGGAAGAGAAAAAGGGGCAAACACGTACTACTAACACTGACATCTGTCTTGTTCTCTGTCTTTTTCCTAAGAATTTTTAAATTTTGTTTGGATTTCTGGACATTACTGAGCCAATGCTTTCCTATATCCATTTATGAGAGCACCCAGCTCCTGCACGCAGCCATCAGCCAGCAGCCATCATTTACATGTGAGGCACAAACTATTTTTTCCACCCGTGAGCATCACTTGCTATTAATCTGCATTGAATTTATCACCAAGTCACTAATTTCACAAGATTCTTCTCCAGTCCTTCACCACTCTGAAGAGTTTGGACTTGCCAACAAGCTGCCACTTGCTAATCACTTTATTTTCCCCATCACTCCTTAGTGTTGAACAACAACATATCCTTAAGCACAGATCTGCATCTCCCTCCGTAATGAAAATTAACAACATATGCCTACCCTCCATCCCCAGCTCTTTAGCCATATGAGAACTGTGCCTTCCCCCCACAACAGCCGTGCAATTTCTTTGGCACGCCTTGGTGAGGAACGCTGTCAAAACAGGTTTTTAAATTCACGCACTGTATTAATTGGTTGGCCTTTTCCAATATATCAGTTGACTTCTACAGAGCTCAAATAGGTTTGTGAGGCATAACTTACCTTCACAAAAGCCACGCTGACTCTTTCTCAACACATTACATTAGTTCTGTGTTCCACTAAGTCTGTCTGTTAGAGTTTCTACCAGTCTGCCCAGTAGAGACACCAGTCCTACTGGCTTGTGGTTCCCTGGATCTCTCCTGGAGCCCATGTGAGTCACAGCCGCCACCTCCAGTTCTCAGGTACTAAGACAGTGTTAAAATCAGAGGGTATACACCAGTAGTAGCTGAGCAAATTCATTGTAAAGTTCCTCTAGATCTGTAAGAAACCTCTATTCGTCTGTTTAACTTGTCTATTTAGTCCACAGCCTCTTCTGGTGGCACTTCCACATGAAGCAGCGCCATTAACGTGTCCTTAAATGAGAGCTCCCATCCGGATTTCACCTGAACTGACCTGCGGTTATCGAGTGCCAGTTCACACTGGGATTCCACAGCAGATTTCCACCAGCTCCAGATACCTGGACGTGATGTTACACCCCAGAGGTCTGTGTAGCAGAGCCCACATCAGCCTGGTTACAGTCAAACTGCTACTCTAAAGCATTTAAAACCCTGCACTGAGAAAGAACAGGAGAAACAGCTGGAGAGAAATCAGCCACTCCAATACATTCAAACAGTGATGCATTAACTGCTATGACTTGCTAATTAGTAGCTTTTGATTACAACGCACTGCTGCAACTCGGTAACTTTGCAGTTGTCTTGGTGTAGCAGATGTATCTACTGTGTTCAGTAACACAAATACCAACTAACTCTTCTATCGACCCTGTATCAATGCTTTCCTGACAATGCTTATGCAGCACAACTCACTGTACACAAGAGATCCGTTGTAAGAATGTCTCCTAGCTCAAACACAGGAGCCCCTTTTCTGACACGGGGCACTGGGCTTTCATCTTTTGAGACCTGAACGCACAATGGAGAATTCAGCCATCAAATGACATCTAAAAGGTTGGTTAAGGCCCTCCAATACACAGCAATAAAATGTGCTTAAATACACACAGTTAAGTCAGCACGTGGCAGGACTCTGGTCCAAGTTAAAGCACTAAAAGAGCCCTGGGGCGAAGCACCCACACCTTGCCCCTGCGCATCTCCACGCTGTGCTCTTCCTTCTTTGGAGGGCTCTTTCAAGACCTCCAAATCCCCAGCTGGAATTCTGCTCATTAAAAGCACCTGTAGAGGTAATCGTACCAGGGAACACAAAACACTGCCAGCTCTGGTTTAAGGACCCATCTGCTAGCACAAATCCATAGATGCAGATAACGGCCATTCCTCCTGAGGTGTCCAATGCAGCCCCTGCAGTGCAGTATCTGCTATATGGGCACTGCAAACGTTACTCAACAGAACCCAGGTGTTCTTCCACAAGTAAAGAAGTTTTTGAATTGCAATCCTGAGCTAAACATAACAAGGGTATAAGTCAAGACAGCACAACCACACAATGCCACCAGAATCCAACAGCCTCTTAATACCAAAATGTCACAACTGGCACTGGCTGCTGAGAAAGGACTTTGCAGGCTGCATTTCTTATGGAAGGACCTGTGCTCTTAATGAGACAGAAAGAAGACAGGGGAAAATAGATATTTTAATCCAGTATACTTGACTACCAGCAGCATTTCTCCTTTTCCAAGATGGAAAAGATAAGCTACAGATGAGAGAAAAAGAAAAAAACCCAACAACTTTCTGGCAGAATAAAACCACTTCAAGAGAAGACATTTTAACATGATACAGAACAAATGGGCAGGAGTCTCTAAGTGCAGAAAAAAGCCTTTTTTCCCTCCCAATTCTCTGTCCAAACAGCGTTTCAAACATTAAAAGCCTGCCCACATAGCAGAACAAAATGATCAGAAAAGTTTTAAAAGTGCTGCAGTACATTGCTGACTTATTTTTAAGATGACTCACCTATTAGAAGAGAGTCCCCTGAATGGGATTCCATAATTGGTTTTGACAGGGGAGGTTTTGATCTGTGGGAAGAAGGAAGAAGCATCTCTGAGCAGTTAAGCTTGTTTAACAATGCGCTTACAATTCTTTTTTTTAACATACATATATATATATATATATACACACCTCTGTGTGTGTTAGAGCAGACAAGAGAATACCTCTGCCCTCTACTGGAAATAAAAACGCTTGCAAGCAAGACTTGGTGAGAAGTTACAGTGGAGTTTCATACCCAAAGACTTAAGTTTTGAGACAATCTCTCATGAGAAACCCAGAC